TGAGGAAGGTGAGGACGTCCTGAGACTGTGCCTTGGCTTGTCCAAGTGTTTTGGCCGACAGAGAGGTGCAGAGGTGAATTGCACCAGTTGCGGGGGCCAGCATGAATGCCAGTCATGGTGTTTCTGTGATGTCCAGTGTTGGGAATGTGGGAAAACTGGCCATATTGAATGCACCTGCCAAATGAAGGAACAGTGGGACACTCCCTGGCATCCAATTTCAGGGCCTGGGGATGGTCACCACGGGACTCCAGGTGCAGTAGAATGCCATGCCATATCGGAGTGTACCTGCACACAGGAGCCAGCTGCCACATCTATCCAGAATGCACAGCCAATCTGCGAGAAGATTCGAGTAGCTGTGATCATCCAGGGAACCCCATGCGAAATGGAGGTTGACTCCGGGTCAGCGCTGTCTGTTATTTCTGCTGAGACATACCATCACATCTGCCAGAAGGGAGGAGCCCCCTGTTTGCAGCCCTTTGAGGTGATCCTGACAGACTTCCAGGGGAAGCACGTGCCCATTCAGGGCATTGGCATGTTCACTGTCCAATTTAAGCATTTTAGCGGACCGCTGCAGCTGGTAGTTGTCAAAGGCCCCCACACCAGCCTACTTGGCCTCAACTGGTTCGACGCACTGGGCATCCATATCACAGGGGTCCAGCACATAGGCCAGTCCAGCTATGAGGCCATCTGTGATGAGTTTGCAGACGTGTTTGATGTGTCACTGGGGTGCTACAAGGGCCCACCGGTCGCACTGAGCCTCAACCCGGCTGTAGTACCAATCCGCATGAAGGCTCGGCAGGTGCCATTTGCCCTGAAGCCCAAGATCGATGCAGAGTTGGATCACCTCATCAAAGAAGGAGTCCTTGAGCCAGTCCTGCATGCTCAGTGGGAAACCCCAATTGTCACTTGCCTCCAGGCAAACGGGAATGTGAGGATCTGTGCTGACTACAAGTGCACCCTCAACAAAGCCTTGCAGCAGCATGGGTATCCTGTTCCAGTCGTGAGTCACCTTCTTGCATCACTGGCAAATGGAAAAGTCTTTGCGAAGCTCGACTTGACCCAGGCATATCAACAACTCCCAGTTGACGAGGCCTCCTCTGAGGCACAGACTATCGTGACCCACCACGGGGCTTTCCGTGTCAAGAAACTACAGTTCGGTGTCAGCGTGGTCCCAGGCCTCTTCCAAAGCCTCATGGAAGATGTCCTGAAGGGTCTCCCTGGAGTAATTCCGTATTTTGGTGATGTCCTCATTGCGGGGGTGTCCGAGGCAGAGCTCGCATGCCGTCTTCGAGAGGTTCTGCGCCGTTTTCAAGATGCCGGCCTAAAGGTGAAGAAAGAAAAATGCCAGCTGGGGGTCCCCAAGGTTGAGTTCCTCGGGTTCCTAATCAACGCTGATGGCATCCACCCCACACCAGCAAAGGTAAAGGCCATTCATAGTGCTCCACCGCCACGCTGTAAGCAGGAGTTGCAGTCCTTCCTGGGCCTGTTGAACTTCTACCACTCTTTTATTCCACATAAGGCGGCCACTGCGGAGCCCCTGCACCAGCTATTGAACAAGAAAGCTCCTTGGATCTGGGGCTGTGCTCAGGACACTGCTTTCAATGCTGTCAAACACCTGCTCTCCTCTGACAGTGTCATTACCCATTTCAATGAGACCAAGCCTGTTGTGCTTGCCTGTGATGTCTCCCCATATGGAATCGGTGCAGTCCTCAGCCACCAGTTGCCGGATGGACGGGAAGCCCCTATTGAATTCTACTCCAGGACCTTGTCATCAACAGAATGCAATTATGCCCAGATCGACAAGGAGGCCCTGGCTGTCGTGGCAGGGGTGAATAAGTTTCACAACTACATCTATGGCCGCCACTTCACAATTGTGACTGACCACAAGCCTCTGCTGGGCCTTTTTGCTCCTGATCGGCAGACTCCTCAGATCCTGTCCCCAAGGATGCTAAGGTGGTCCATCTTTCTCAATGCATATGACTACGCACTTCACCACCGTCCCAGCAAGAGCTTGGGCCACACAGCTGCCCTAAGCCACCTGCCATTGCCAGACATAGACGCTGACCCGTCCCCAGCCCACAGCGTGATGCTGCTGGAGACTCTGCCCCAGCCACCGCTTCACACCACAGATGTTGCCATGCACTCAGCAAAAGATCGCACCCTCTCCCGTGTCCTCAACTGGGTGTGGAGAGGGTGGCCAGTGGGTCACCTCGATGCCAAGTTCTCCCCATTCATCTCCCGGCGACATGAACTGTCAGTTCACAAGGGATGCCTGCTGTGGGGGAACCGGGTTGTGATTCCTGCTAAGCTGCAGACCAGAGTGCTGGAGGATCTGCATGTGAGTCACCCAGGTATCGTCCGCATGAAAGCTCTGGCCAGGAGCTATGTCTGGTGGCCAGGCATTGATGCAGAATTAGAAGAATGGATCCGGTGCTGCCAGACCTGCCAAGAGTTCCGACCGGCCATGCCCCAGTCCCTGATCCAGCCGTGGGAGATGACGCGAAAACCATGGTCAAGACTCCACATTGATTTTGCTGGCCCATTCCAAGGTCATACATTTTTGATCATTGTGGACTCCTTCTCAAAGTGGCTTGAGGTGGTGCCAGTCTCAGCGATGAACTCCAAGGTCGCCATCTGGGCCCTGAAGTGGGTCTTCACCACACATGGCCTGCCAGACATCATTGTGTCCGATAATGGAGCACAGTTCACATCGGCTGAGTTCCAGAAGTTCATGGCTGACAACCTAATCCAGCATGACACGTCATCACCATTTCACCCATCAGCAAACGGACAGGCCGAGAGAATGGTGAGGACCACCAAGGAATCCCTCACCCGGATTGTCCAGGGGGACTGGAACCAGCGCTTAGCAGATTTCCTGCTGCAGCAGCACATCACGCCCTGCACCGCCACAGACCAAAGCCCAGCAGAGCTCCTCATGAACCGGAAGCTGGCATCGCTCCTGGATCGGCTGCACCCCAACCTTGCATCTGATTGGCCTCCAGGTCAGGAGCCTCCAGCGGCCCCCCTGTCCTTCACCCCAGATGACCCTGTCTACACCCAGAACTATGGAGATGGCCTTGCCTGGATCCCTGCTGCTACCAGGGCAACTTGGCCAGTCTCCTACAAGGTTGCCATGCCAGAGTCGGGTCCACCGCCAGCATGTAGACCAAGTGTGGCACCACCTAACTGATGCCCCAGCTCCAGCTGCCGCCACCACACCAAAGCACAGGGATGAAGTGAATGATCAGCTCGGCTCACAGGCTGATGCACCCAAGGAGGACCCTGTGTTCCCAGGAAGTATAGAGGAATGGGGCCCTGGCACTGCACCGCCAGACAGCGCCAAGGCAACAACACTGGTGACACCCATGACACCAGCTCCAACACAATCTCTAAATGACCCAAGGGGGCGAGCTCTGCCGCTCTCATAATCTTGAGGACTATGTATGTTGATGGGGGTTAGGGTTCGTGCCTAAGGGGAAGGGTGTGTTACGTATTCAGTGGTCTATGTCCACCTGAGTTTCAGTCTGGACTAAGGATTCTGAGCCCCTCTCTTCTGATTCAGTACATATCCATTATTAGGGTTGGGGCTACTGGCATTGGCTCTTAAGGTCCAAGTTACGATTCACAGCTTGGGGGTTTTGACAGCAAATCACGTTGTTCATTTATTTCAGTAATTCAACTTAAAAGATGAAACTAATATAGGAGATAGACTCATGACATGCAAAGCGTGATATGTCAAGCCTTTATTTGCTATAATTGTGATGATCATGGTGTATAGCTGATGAAAACCCCATATTAACAATCTCAGGGGCCCAAACCAAGTACTGAGTACATATGCATGCTTCTACTTCTCAGAGGTGCAATATTGCTCTATTTGCAGTCCTTGTTTTGCTGATTTCATTTAATATTCTAATTTTCTGAGATTGTTAATTTGGGGTTTCTGCTTATTAAAACAATGCACTTTCAAGTCAGATATTTGACAAATCTTCCATCTGCCTCATTGTCACCTTCACAGAACGCTTTCAATCCATGCCCTTAGCGGTCATAGATGGATGATACAATGGAATACCTTATGAAGAGAGACTCTGTCTGTGTGGGCAACAATTTGTAGAGGACATTTGCCATTACTTACTACAATGTCCACTATACACGGACCAAACAAATTGATTCATAAAACTGCTTTTCATGAAGAAAACAACTCTAACCAGGGTGGAGAGGGTGAAATGGCTGCTGAGTGATACTGATGGTTCTGTGACTTTTAAGGTGGCTCTCTATGCCACCTTATAAGACAGCTAGGAAGATTAGTAATAAAGAACTGGATGGGCTAGAGGTCAATTGCAAAAGAGTCTCTGGGATCTAATCTGCACATTTTATTTGAGAATTACTTTTTATTCTGTGTAATAAGAAATTTTGGTAGATTTAATCATGGTTTTACTGCATATGTAGAGACTACTGTCTGCTTGTTTTTCTTCTTTCTTCTTTGGACGTTGCCATGGCCTTTGGCTAGTGCAATAATATTATAATATAATATAATATAATATTATAATATAATAAGCAGTTGCTTTGCCTTTGTTGTTCAGTTATGTTAGCTCAATAAAGTCCCTTGCTGTTATCACTGTGTCTTGCCTCGTAGAAACCCACGTACACTCCAGTAGTTTCTCTAGTTTGTTAGGAAAAGGGGTGCATACACCCCTATCTTGTGCTGTTTCATAACCATCTATAACAAATTTTCAAAAGCTTTATGGTTTGCAAAATTGACAATATGGTAGAATGCAGGCATAGAATATGCTTTTATGGTCTTATTCACAAAGTGTTTTCACATTAACATGATTTTCTTTTTATAATATGTATACTATAATTCTAACTTAATGATAATGACAATTAGTGATACCATAAACTAAGCACTATATGACAAATCTCTTCCCCCACAATTTGAAAAGCATAACTCATTATTTTAAATTTAATGTTACCTTTCTTGGGTTGACAAAGAAAAAACCTAGAACCACACACTTTATCAGTTGTTATTAAATTGTTTTGCACTCTCCGTGCAGTTATATGTAGGGTTTTCACCACAAACATAAGATCTGGAGTGATGTCACAATATAGCAATTAGAATCAGGGGTAATGGCAGCTTTCCATTTTTAGCAAGAGTTCAAGCTGGCATCACTTTGATGTTTTTCCTACATCTATATATTAAGTAGCTCACTATAGTAAATTATGCTAAATCTTGGTAGCATATACAAGAGACATAAGGTTAGAAAGTCAAATATTTTTCAAAACCTTGTTTCTTTTTGCCTCATGTATAGGTAGCACCTTTTGACGAAACTGCAGGAGGCAGTGGAAGAAAGGATTGCCTGGTGTGGTCTGGTCCAAGGAGTCATGAAGAGTCGGACACGACTAAACAACAATAGGTAGCACCTTATCACTTCAGGAAAAGAAGTGTCTGATGGGGATTGTAGTGTTATTAGAATAAGAGGGCAATCTTAAGGCAAGAGCACCTTAGGATGCTAAAATCTCCAGCTCAGTCAGTTTTAAGTCTTCAACCCCAGCTTAGTCAAAAATATGCTGGAGTAGCTTGCTCATCCCAGCTAAGCCAAGGCTGGTGTAAGTCCTCCAAAAGGGGGTAAGGTGAGACCGGGGGTGGGTGGAACTGAGGTTGGATCCTAAGCATGTTCAGCTTGGTCATGTGACTGTGAATCTGGCACAAAATGTTATTTTAAAGGCTTGTTTTCTCTCTGTCAGGGTTAAACAGAGCAGCAGCCTTGCTGCTGGATGGGGTTTGGATTCGATATGACATTACACCAGCTGAACTTACACTGGCTTCAGGTTCATGTGCATAGCAATGCTCCCTATATTGCAACAGCAGCATGCCTTAAGAAACTGAATGTGGAGGGACCTGCCCTTTTAAACAATGAAAACATGGTAAGTCTGGCTGCTCAAACTACCATACTTTTGACCCTTCTCTCCCTTTTCAAAATCTCTTTTTTCTTACCTGCAAATATTATAGCTTTCCTACCATTGGTATTAAGGTGAAGCACTGTGCCTAGTGTATTAAGAATGGTGCTTGGCAATCCTATGGTCACACCATGCTGGTGGCCAACTTACACCAGTGTAACAATGCCAGGGTAGCATAGTTGAAACTTTATTGACCCCAGCCCCAGCAGCAAAGTTGAAATGAAAACAATGGAACAAACAGCAGTGAACATAGCAACTTCATTGGCCACTTCCTTAGTGACCATAGCACCACCAATGACTCCCACCAACCTGAGAGTAGCATGTCAACAATGTCTACAGGCATTAAAACACCCAGGCATGAAAGCAACCAACCCATGCACGCCAAGGGGGAAATACTCCCATAAAACCATTCTGTCCCACATTACTTTCCACAGCAGTATTCCACTGGTACGAGAACGAACCTCCAAAATAAGGCTCCAGTCTGGAGGTCCCTGCACACAAGTTAAAACTAACACTGGGCCAAATTCCCCTCCTGGAAAATGGGGGAGGGGACAATTTTGTGCTGTTTTGTGCAGTGAGGGAGAAATGTATCCAACCTTTTCAGGATTCATGCACCTTCCTTGTTTTTGCAGAAAGTGTTGTTGGGGAGACACTGTCAAGAGAACCTTGCACTGCTTACTGCCAACCACACTTCCCAGAATGCCTCAGGAATAATGAAGTGCAACATGGCATTACTCCCAAGGCATTCCACGAAGTGCAGCTGACAAACAGCAGGGGAGGGAACCTTACACTGTCATGAACAGTATGAGTCATTTTTAAGTTAACAAACAAGAAGAAAATGGAAAATCCTTTGGGAAATCATACGGTTAAGTAAGGTAACCAGAAACTTGCTCCTGAAAATTTGGAGAAATTTATTTTCTCCACCTGTTTTCAAGATGGGCTGATGCCTGAGGGAGCTTAGGATTTGGACTAAGCCCATACATTTCCCTGTGTCCATAGAACTGTCCATTTTATCCCATTTGGAAGAGTGAGCAACAGTAACCTTCTACAGTACCTTGATCACTTAAGCAGGTGGGTAAAATGCACACATTCCCTCTAACTGTATCCCTTTCAGTATTTTAAAAACTAAAATAATTATGTAAGATTACATATAGTTTACTGACTTGCTTGATAAAAATAAGATTTGAGTAATCCTTGTGACTGTAAACAGGAAATGCTAATAAAGCACTTATCTTCCTGATAGGTAAAAGCAGCTTTGTCATAGTGACTGTCAAAACAAACCAGTGGACTCAGATGAAAGAGCAAGTAAACAAATATTTTCTAGGAAATTTCTTCCACATTGCCTTCAGCAAAAATTCAGTTCTGGTAGCATACAAAACAAAATCAATTTTATTCACAAAAACCAGTCTCTTTCTTTCCAAGTGTTTGTAAAACTGTATCATTTGCTCTGCAAATTAGTAACAATCATGAGTGATTTTCTTCTAAATGTTCATATAATTTCTCATCCTTATAATAAATTTCATGTGTTATTGTCTTTTCTGAAGATACCTTGCTTATGTTTACTAATAAAAAAAACCTTCGTAATTTTTAAATTTTCAAGATGCCTTTTCTGGGATGCATTTGATATTTGAGTATGTACTGGATGAATAAAGGAAGCAGAAAAGGGGTGTGTTAGTAGTAGAAATACATTCTACTATTTTCACACAGTGCATAAATACTAAGCACCTCCCCAAGAGCTTCATCCACAGTACATTCTTATAGACTATGTATTAATCAGGAATTTTTTTAGATTTTTTAGACAACTTTGGCTGCAATCTTTTGCACACATTTAAAACTCCCCTTGAATCCAATGGGACTTAATCCTGAGTAAGACAGCAACTGGAATTTATGTGATACAAAGTTCTGTAATCACTTCATTATAAAGTATAGTAGACTGATTAGAGAATCCACTGTAGGAAGTAGCATTCATTTTCTTCTGTGAAGCGCTTAAATGTCATTCTGTTAGCAAGCTGATGGAAGCAAACTACTTCTCCCAACTAAGAATGGCTAGTATAATGCACAACATCAACATTTTTCAAAATGAAGCCATTACACCTTTAAAATATTATTTTTCAAAATGGTGACACAGAAACACATGTAATACTGCACATAGGCAGCATGTTAGCATCACATTAGTTCAAAATAAAAAGAAAAGCTACAGATGGCAGCATATCTACTCATTGCAGGGGGCTGGAATAGATGACCAACGAAGTCGTTTCCAACTCTACAATTGTATGCTTCCCTTAAAAGACCCAGGGAGCAATTCTAAAACCTGTTTAGGTTCAATTGGTATAAAATTTTGCTGCCATCTACAGAGATGCCTCAGCTCTCCCACATGGATACAGCCCTGGTTCTTCAGCTTCACCTGTAGACAAATGGAGAGCTGTGTGAGAGCATAACTTAAGAGCCTTCTGTCCCTTCACTGTTCATAGTAAAAGGTAAGTTGTAGTGGTCGTGTTAAATGGAACAGTACAGTTTGAAAGGCAAGCCAGATTCTTGCTGGAGAACCAACTCTGAACCTATTCATTGTAGGCAGGTACATGAACAGGACTTTCATCTTTCTCCTTTTGTAGGAAGTCATAAAACAGAACAATAGCGTACTCATATCTGATAGCCAGTCTGACATATTAGTTTGAGTATCAGGCAAAGACCAGGGAGATGCAGGTTTAATTCTCTCTTCAACCATGAAGCTTACTAGATGACCTTGCACCAGTCACTACCTCCCTGCCTAATCTACTGCACAAAGGTGTCGTGAGGATAAATGAGTAGGTGAAAGCTTTGTAAACAACATCAAGTTCCTCAAAGGAAGGCAAAAAATAAATATATGAACCTGCTTTCAGCTGTTAATAAATTTATTTCCAAACTGTCTACAGTAACTCAACACTGTACAAATATAAAACTTCTAAAGTACAGCATCCTTTTGGAAGTTCTTACTTGCCCCTGAAATCTTGAAACTTGAGTGTGAGAAACTTTGGACTGAATATGCCATTTAAAATTGATTCCTGAATGTGCACATTAACTATCTGAATCTCAAAGGCACATAACACAAGCATTGCTTTTGCATTTTGTACCTTAGTTTGAAAAAAATTGTCAGGATCAAGCAAACACTCTAATTGCAAATGATGAGTTATATTATGAACATACAAATGTTCATTGTGATCTCTCAATCTGGGTGGAGAGGAAAATAAGTTTTCTTCCTCTTAAATAATAATTTGAACTGCAGATCTTCCAATGAAACAAATAAGCCACAAATCAAGGATGAACAAAAGGAAGTACTACTTGCATAGTATATAATTTGTAAAATTCACTGTCATAAGATGTGGTGATGCCTAGAATTGTAAAGGGGTTTAGACAAATGCACAGAGCACAATGGCTGTATGCAACCTCAATGTTCAGGAGCATTATTGCTTGGGCTGCATTCAAGCCATACATTTAAAGCACATAACTTCCCTCAAATAATCCTGGAAACTTTAGTTTACTCATCACAGAGCAACAATTCTCAGTAATCTGAACAAACCAATTTCCAAGATTCTTTGGGAGGAAATCATGTGATTTAAATGTATGGCTTGTATGCACCCATAAGGTTTCAGTTTCTGGGAAGCAACAATGGCCGAATGTTGCTGCCATTATGCTGTGCTTGTGGGCTTCCCAGAGGCATTTGGTAGTGGGGTGGTGCTGCTGAACTAGTTTGGAATTTAGTCAAATCTAGCAGAGCATTTACATTTGTAATCATTTTAATATCCAGGGCTGATAGATTTGCATTTACATTGCATTTTTGGGGAGCCCATTGAAAATGGCTGTGAGGGTAGCATTTGAACTTGTAGCATACAGTGGTTCCCTAAAATATAGAACAGTGCAATCATAACCATCTCTATTGTGAAGTCTTACTGATTACAATGGGGTTTATTCCATCAAGGATTGCTACCTAAATATGTCTTCCCAAGTACTTTCCACAAAGTGATATCCTCTTTGTGTTCTGTTCAACCTTTTTACCTCAGATCTTATTTTACTCCCTAATATCACCTCCCACATTCTACACTACAGATACAAAATCAGCTTGAGAAGGGTGATCAGAATAATTCACTACTCTGAACAAATCTGCAGCTTCTTAGATGTATTGTTTTGAGTGCTTTAATTAATTTTGAATTTAAATTCTGAGGTTATTTTTCAAGAATAGCTTTTAAAAAAGCAACACTTAAAAAACCTGAAAAGCAAACATATATCGTACCACCACCATCCACAAAGAAAGCTCCTAATGATTAAAATATGTCTTTGCTATGAGCTTTTAGCCTAGGCAAATGACCTAGGCTGTGTTAGGACACAGGGCTAAGTTCAGGAATCATGTTTTTCTGTTTCCTTCCCATTTTTATGATATTGTTACACAAGTTAATAAGCTCCTCTTCTTGCTTGGTGTTATCATGAAAAATCCCCCATCCTGAGGTAAAATTTTACTCCCACCTACCTGCTGCATGAAGGCAGATATTGCCCCATCTGAAGCAAATTTCTTCCCATCTACCTATTGCGTGAAGACAGATATTGCCCCACTTGAGGGAAATTTACTCCCCTCTACTTGCCGTGTGAAAAAAGGTACAGTATTGCCCTACCTGATGTAAATTTCCTGCTGTGTGAAGAGAGCAATCCCCCTCACTTCTCCCCCCCCCCTTGAGGTAAATCGTCCCTCCCCATCTATCAACTGCGAAGGAAATGCGCGCTTGCTGTTTATGAGGGAACACCATCGGAAACAAGTGCTGAACTACATCCGCTAATTTCGAGGATAGGGGTGCACCCCCTTCCCCAACCTCCCCCCCCCGCCTGAGGGGCGTGGCTGTGGCGGGCGGGAGCGGTTCGGAGAGCCCGCGGCGCTCCAGGCAACGTGGACGCGCCTCTCCCCCCCCCTCCCGCGCCTCCACAGCAGCGGCAGCTGGGACGGTTAATTTTGCACACATCCCTCCTGCTCCTCCAACGGTCGCCCGCGCGCTGACGAGTTGTTTACTTCCTCAGCGGCTCCACCCCTCCACCTCCCCTCGGCTCTCGCGCTCGCCGATTGGCTCTTCCTTTGGCCAACCACGACGCCTCTCAGGTCATCAAACCTGTATGGGGCGGGGAGTGCGGTCGTAGGGAGGGAGGGGGATAACAGGAGTGCCTAAAAAAAAAAAAGAATAGCAGCAGTATAAGAAAGTGAACCTTCATTTCTTTAACGCTGATTGGGCAACTCGTGGAAGCAGCGAGGACTGATTGGTAGATTACGGTGCTACTCATTTTCATCCCTTGTGGCCTTTTCTGTGTATGTGTTGTTTTTCACTCATTCCTCTGTACACGCAGGCATTGAGGGTCCCCGCCTCCGCCCGGCGTATGTTTCAGTGTGTGAGGCGGTGATTGGCCGAAACCCAGAGCCCGCCTCCCACTTCTCCCCCCTCCTTCTCCCTTTCCCCCTCCCACCTTCTCACACACAAACACATCTTCACGGCATCCCGCGCCCAGCCGCCCGCTATTAATTACCTTCACCTCTCATTTGTCCCGCCTCCCGCCTATCATTATGAAAGGCACGCGCACGCACACAACCCGCCGACCGGGAGTGGGGTGTGCGTGGCAGTGACTGCGGATTGGACCGCTTGCGAAGCGGACTTTATCTCCGATTGGTTCCTCGCCCGCCGGCTCCTCCATTCTCAGAACTTTGCTCTCCGGCCCACCCCACACCCCCCACACAGCCCCCCCACAGCCCCGCCCCCGCGCTGAACGAAGCACCGCCTCTCGCTGGAGCGGTTTTTTTTTGGCTTCATTTTCTTTTTTTTTTAAAGCGGCTCCTCTCCCTCCCTCCCGAAGGAGGCGGGGTCACGTGATGTTTTCGCCGTGGTGCCGCCGCGGCTGCTTGCCTGTGTGGTGAGCGAGCGAGTGAGGCAGAGCGGGGCGAGTGGACGGGGAGCCCTGCGCGCTCCGAACGGCTGGCAGTGAGTGAGCGGGTGGGCGCACGCCCCGCCGGTGGGCCGGCTTCGCGCCTCCCCCTGCGGGGAACGGCCGGCGTGGACGCAGACTGGGGCCACCCATGTCCAGCCGGGCCCGGGAGACCCTTCGCCTCTGAGGAGGGCGGCTCTTCCACCCCCCTCGCGCTCCCGCCCTCCCCCCCCCCCCGCTGCACAAGCGCGGCGCCGCCTGGCTCGGCGGTCCGGACCCTGCCCTGGCCCCTTAAAATGGCGAGCGGGATGCTCGGCGGAGAAGGCGGCTGCACCGTGCTGGAGGCGAGAGACCGGGCTGCGGGCATTGCCGCTGGAGCACCAGGCGGCGGAGGCGGCTACAGCCACAACCAGCGAGCCAGCGCGTCCAGGCTTGCCGCTACTGCTGCTACTACTGCTGCTGCTACCGAAGAGGACCAGGAGCTGATGGAAGGCGCCCCTTGCCCGCCGCCCGCGCAGCCCCCGCACCATCTGATGCTGCTTCTGAGGAGATCCCCCAGCAGCTCCCTCTGCCTCGTCCAGGAGGAGGACGCCTCGGCGACCGGGGGCAACGCCGGCGCGGGGCGAGGGGGCGCCGTGGCTTCATCGCGAGCCGGCCCCTCGGCGCCCTCAAGCCGGGCAGCTGCCCCACCGGCGGCGTCCGCTGTCGCCTTCGGGGACGACGTGAGGAAATGCGGCTACCTAAGGAAGCAGAAGCATGGCCACAAGAGGTACTTCGTGCTGCGGGTGGAGAGCCACCTGGCCCCGGCCAGGCTAGAGTACTACGACAGCGAGAAGAAGTTCAAGAGCAGCATGAGGGCGGCGGCGGCAGCGGCGGCGGTTGGTGGGAGCGCAGCCCTCTGCTGCCCACCCCCGAAGCGGGTGATTCCTCTGTACCAGTGCTTCACGGTTAGCCGGAGGGCAGATGCCAAGCACAAGCACATCATCGCCCTGTACACCAAGGATGAGTACTTTGCAATGGTTGCCGAAAACGAGCCTGAGCAGGAGAGCTGGTACCAGGCAATCAGTGAGCTCATGAGCCAAAGCAAGAGGGGCTTCTTGGAGCAGGAAGACCAGGCTGATCCGCAGCTGGATGACGACGACGAGCATTACGGGACTGCTCTTCGGCCAGGGACCGTCTTCAAAGAAGTTTGGCAAGTAAATGTGAAACCCAAGGGACTGGGGCAGACAAAAAATTTGACTGGGGTGTACAGGTTGTGTCTTTCCACCAAGGCCATCCACCTTGTTAAGCTGAATAGTGAGGTGCCCTCTGTCCACTTACAGTTAATGAACATTCGGCGGTGTGGACATTCAGAAAATTTCTTTTTCATTGAGGTTGGCAGATCTGCCTCCATTGGGCCAGGTGAGCTTTGGATGCAAGTGGATGATTCAGTGGTGGCCCAGAATATGCATGAAACCTTCCTAGAAACCATGAAAGCTTTGAAAGCCTTCTCTGAGTTTAGACCTCGCAGTAAGAGCCAGTCTTCCGGTGGTGGTAGCAGCACCAACCCCATTTCCTTCATCAGTACTAGGAGGCACCTGGGTAACCTGCCACCTAGCCAAACTGGCTTACAAAGAAGATCCAGAACTGAAAGTGTTACTGGGGGGACCCCTCCAACCACCAAGAGTAGTAGCTCTTACCGTTTCAGAACTTCCAGTGAAGGGGAGGGGACAATGACCAGACCATTTAGGTCAGTTACTGGAAGTTTGATTCATCTGAATACTGCAAGGATGAATTTGGGGCGTCAAGAAGGAAGTGGACGATATGTTAGAGCAGCATTTAGTGCATCTTATCACACCAGGTCTGCATCTCTGCCAGTGTCTCATTTCCCTTCCACTACTAGCCCCATCAGTGTTTCTTCAAGTAGTGGCCATGGATCAGCTTCCGATACCTTCATCAGGCCTTCCAGTTCATCCGTCTGTGGGTCCCCAAGTGATGGAGGTTTCATTTCTTCCGATGAATATGGTTCCAGCCCTGGCGACTTCAGGTACTTCCGTGTGAGGAGTAATACCCCAGATTCCTTGGGCAATACGCCTCCAATCAGAGAAGAAAATTGTTTAAATGAATATATGTCTATGAGCAAGCAGCAAATGGATAATAATAGTTCAAGAGATGATTACCGGGAGGCTGAAAAATGCTTCAGAAAAAGAACTTACTCTCTAACTAAGCCTGCTTCTATACCAGCACAGCAGAAAACAACCCAAACAGCAACTTCATTAGATGAAGTTTCTTCAGGAAGCCATGGACGCCTGCCTTTTTCTGAATCGCCAAAATTCAAAAATAACCCTGAACCAGTGTATGGGGAATCTGCCCTTGATTCTGTATGCAATCAAAGCAGGAATAAAGCCAGAGATGATGGATACATGCCAATGATGCCAGGAGTTGCATCTTCTTTTGCAAGCAACAGTGATTATCTGCCAATGACTCCTAAAAGTGTGTCTGTTCCAAAGCAGATAAACAGTTCCTGGCCATCATCACAGGCTGATTCCAAAGGATATATGATGATGTTTCCTAGGGCTATCTCTTCACCTGTACGTAGTCCTTTAACTGGCTTTAATAAAAGTGGCAATGAGAAGTTGGCGAACAATGAGTATATGGATATGTCACCTGGAAACTCAGCTGCTCCAAAGCAACCTAGTGATTCAAATTATATGCATACCAACACCAGTTCCAAAAACTTTAGCTCATATTTCTCTCTCCCACGAAGCTTTAAGACTCAGTCAGGAGAAAATGGTGAGCATGATGAATACGTTCCAATGTCATCACCAGGAAAATTATTGTATAGTGGAGCTGAAAATGACAACAATATCAGTAATGATGTTCTGGCTAATGGCCATTCCAAATCATCTATGCTGAAAGCTTCAGATGAAGGACTTGAACAGAACAAAATTACCAGGCCTACAAGACTTCCATTAGGCACTAGAGGTAGTAACACTATACCAAGAATGTATGGTCGTACAATTCCACTTGAGCCATCTAGTCCTGGTGAATATATAAATATCGACTTCGGTGAAAAGGCAAGTAATACACCTTATTCTTTATCTGCAGAAGGATCGCCATCATCTCTTGGCTCCAGTAGTGACCATAGGCAGTCACCACTTTCTGACTACATGAGTGTTGATCTTGATGTTCAGTCACCAAAGGTTGCTAAAGAACTATCCAACTCCTTGACAGATATTTCAATTTATGCAAGTTCTAGTATTCCCAGAAATCCACCTGATTCAGATTATGCTAGGCTCTCATTTGGTACTGCTTGTGTTAGCAAAGGAAATGGTAGGATTGATGACTATACAGAAATGACCTTCAACATGGCAGCAATGCCACCTGGACCATTTACCACCGAGAGCAAAAATGGCTTAAAGATTGATAGTCCTCCTTCCATTGTTAATAGACTGTGCATTGTTGACCAATATGCTGGTAGCAGTGAGTTCTCTGTTCCTAGTCCTGATCCGCCAGTAGTACCTAAAGTTATTCGTGCTGATCCACAGGGAAGGAGAAGGCATAGCTCTGAAACATTTTCTTCCACTGGCACTGTTACCACTTCCTCTTCTTTCTTTACTGATAGTAGCAAAAGGCACAGCTCTGCCTCTTTTGACAATGTGTGGTTGAAACCTGAAGAACACATTTCAGATGGCCATGAAAGCAAGATGTCCAGAGATACTTCAACTGGATTTCAGAATGGCTTGAACTATATAGCTCTAAATTTACAAGATAATTCTCTAAACTGTGAGGAGAGCCCTAGTTCACCAAACTGCCACCTCCCAAATGGTACTTTGAATCTGGAAAGTGGAGTGTATGTGAGCATAGACTTCAGCAGATCAGATGGTTTGAAGTGCAACTCTGCAAGAAAAGGTTTGTATTTTTTTTTAATCACTCACACAAATTAATGCATGTATAATTTCAATATATTATTGTAAATCACTATTTTCTTCTTTAAATTTGCCCCTTTTCCTATTTAGTGCAGTATTTTCACTGGCAGCATCACATAAGGAGTGTTCTGCATGCACAATTCAGGCCCAAGTGTTTCCTATCTTTTAATTTGAAAACATGTATTGACTGCTTTTTTTGTTGAATTGTCATTATGAGTATGGGGTAGTAAAATAATCGCAGAATATATGAGAAGCAGTAAATTGTTCTCATGCTTGTCTTCATTACCAACTTTGGGGTCACTGCCACACTCCTTTTTCAACATTCTAATAAAATATAGACATCAGTTCATCTAAATAACAATGATTTACTTGGAATCTGACTACTTTAGATTTTATGAATGGATTGGAATTTATCCCCTGGTGCATGGTTGTGGGTACCTTTCAAGGGAGGAATCTGCTTTCTGAGGTTCTGCGGAACAAACCTGCTACTTCCAGCCACAATTCCCCTTGCTCCCTCTACAATGAAGTCCAACTTAAAGCCACATCAAGACTGCAGTTTACCTTGAGATGTGCAGAATAAAGTGATATATTTTATTCATGTATAGCAGTCTTATGTAATTTTTTAAAAGTCACTGTTTTCATAACTGCATTATACATATAATCTGATTTTTAACAAGGGGTTAACAGTTGTTTCCCTTGCAAAGCTTTCTGGGAAATGTAGTTTTGTGAAGAGGTTGCAGGTTTCAGAGCATTACGAAAATCTCTTCCTCGTTCCAAAGAGAGAGGTGTGTGTATGTGTATTTGAGGTGTAGGTAATTCTGACAGTTAAACTGGCATGCATTTCTAATGTAGATGCTAATTTGGAAGGCATACAGCACCATTCTCTCCATACTGTATTTTACAGAAAAGTAAATGGAGTTCAGTGGGCTTGCTTCCTAGTATGCATACATAAAATTGCAGCTTTAACAATGGTTTTCTCATTTGTCCTGTGAGTTCAGTGACAATTTTTTAAGAAGGCTTGATTTAGTTGTGCATCACAGACACTTCTGCTGTGATACCCTGGTAATAGCTCCTTAGAATGTAGCGATGCAGAATGGAAGACATGAGAAGGCTTTTAGTACAGTAGTAAGCATTCTAGATTACTTCAGCTAGAATCTTACAGCTGCAATAGTGTTATAGTGCCTTGATCAAACCCTTTCTTTTAAAACCTAATAACATGTCTGCAGACTTGGTCTTAGTTTATAGTTTGTTTGTTTTTTAGCTTTTTCTGGAGGAAAAAGTGGAAGTCAGTTGTGTTTCACTATAAATCTTAATCTAAATACTGTTTTAATGGAGAGTGGCTATTCAGTCATTGTAGCTAATTATTTGTGCAAATAGTACTTTTAAAATCCAATATAACACAGTTGAGTACTGTAATAGGTATCCTGCTTTTGTTACTTAGAAAATTATACCTGTATCGCTTGATACAAAGACATGCAAAGAATGTACTGGACTCTGATAAACTGTCTGAAATGCTGAATCAGGGCTTCTAGGTACCCCTTAACTCAATCTGAATATATTCAGAGGCTTTAAGAGATTGCATGAGTTTAGATTCTTTGGCGAGTCTCCTATTGGGAAAAGATTACAGTATATAAAAGACAAGTCAGTCTGTTAGCATTGCTTGGGGTTTTTGAAAAGTTTGTTATTTCCTTTGGTATACTTTTCTCTTTGCCCCTCTTTTTGCTGTGGTTAAATCCAAGTTGTTTGACTGCTCTTCTAAACCAGTGAATGACAGCATACTTGGAGTATCGTCCTCTTGTATGTTAAACTCCATTTAATTAGAAACAGAAGTGGTAAAGAAATGTACTGAATTTGGCCTTCTCTTGAATTTTTCAAACTTGGATTGTACTTTGCTCAATATAATTCCCAAAAAAAACACCAGTGGGGGGGGGGACTTACCCTCCAGCTCTGATCATACTACCAGTTTTAAACTTTGGACGCTTTCATCAGTTTTTAAACATCTGTTGAAAACATTTGCCTGTTACTGCTGCAACTGAAGCATAACCAAGATGATTACAAGTTAAGTTTTTTAAAAACATGCCTGACAGCAGTTTGCATATGGCTAATCATGTGTGTCTATGTACTTCTTTATGTGAATCTTTGGTCCCGATAATCTTTAAAATATGGAAGTGGTTAAGAAAATACAGTCATTGGTAATAGTAGGTGAGTCTGCTAGGTAGATTTCAGGTTAGTGAGTACTTCATTGAAAAATTCTTTTAAAGTGTATATAAGGAAGAGATTTTGCTAGAGGCAGGGGGCACAATCCAGCAGAGACTTTGAGAGTGCTTAAGCTCATTGACTTTATGCTGGAATGTGGCCAAATCATTCATTATTTTCATCTGACTGTTACATAGCCAATCAGTAGATTCAGACAAAGCCCTGGTTTCAGAGTTAAAAGAAATGCCTTGGTAGTTGAAAATAGTAATGAGCTTTTGAACTCCTACAAGTAGAGATTTGAAGCATCTCCTCAGTTAGAACAGCAGAGTGGGTGGGGAGGCCAAGCAAAATAATGAAATGTTAGAGTTCCACAATAGGTGACTTCTGCCTTTTGGGGCTGCTACATTCTCACTTTACCAGCAAGAACAAAAATTGCGGAACTCAACAGCATGCCTGTCCCATGCACAAGTCTGCTTGAGTTCCTTCGAGGGTGGGGCAGGTACAACATTGTTTATGCATTCTGTAGCTTACTAATGATCCCAGTTTGACCTTGGAGGTGTAGAATTAACTTCAGTATACTGTGATAGAAGTCAGCCATGAAACATGACTGATGTAGTCACATTTATTTTTCAGGTGCTTTCTCTAATGTGACAGTATTTTTCAAAATTTTAAATAATTCTTTTTTTATTAGAAAATGTTGACTTGTAGGTAAAATCTCAGTAGTGTCTCAGATGTATGAGATAGGGCGGGGGAACTGTGACCTCACACTCTGAAGCATCATACCATTCTTGTTGAGACAGGTAGGTTAGAGTGTGTGCATTTCTGTTTAAAACTCTACAGCAAGGTTTGAGTTTCTGGTCACTTTTGTTGAACTCCACATTTTCTCATCAGTTTGTATACGGTCTTGTAATAACATATGCAGTTTTATTTCCCTCTTGAAACAGATTACTGCTCTTACAGCAAAGCTCAAAAAGTTTCATAAGATACCTGGAAATAAAACTTGAAAGTGCTTATAATTCAACACTGTAAAATTGTTAACACAAGAACTGTTGAACATCTGAAGTTTCATTGTTAGAAGCCTGGGCCCCTCTACTTGCAGTGATTGCAAAAGCCTCAAGTTCCCATTTTACCTTGATCCACATAAAAAGCTTGAAAACAGTTCCTCCTCTGTTGAGGTTATTACTCTGCTCCTCCTCCATCAATTTTGTGAATGGGAAAAGTTGAAAGGGTTGATTCACATCTCTGAATGACTGAAACTAGGGAAGTAGTACCATATAATTTTGTGATAAATTGAAGGTGACTTCTTATAGACTTAACTAAACATTATTCACAAGTGAGTGTAACATAAAACACCAACCACTTGTGTCACAGAAAATCCATTTTAGGAGTAGGAGAGGGGGTTACTAACCTTTTCTGCTTAACCCCCCCCCCCCCCCCCCCCCCCCCCGTTCCATATACATATTTATCCCTGTAAGGAATATTTATCTTTTAGAATGCCACTGAGGTGTTCTGGGGTGGAGCTAGAAAAGCATCAGGCAGGGAAAAGGTTAAAGACCCTCTCAATGATCTAATATTTCTCCACTCCAAATTGTTCCCTCTGAAAGGAGGTTTTCTGTAATACAAGTAGCTGCTAGAGTTAAGTTAGATCCTTTGGTCCAAGCTGACGTTATTTAAATTTATTTAAGCTTCACTGATGTAAGGATTTCAAATATAGCAACCCTTCAAAATGTTTGCTTTTGTTATAGATCACTTTCCCCAACTAATGCGCTTAAAATATGTTCATATACTTCTCCTTTCTTTATGTGTAACAACATCTTTTAAATATATAAGCTCTGGTTGCAAATGGCAATAAAGATTTTATTAAAAAAAAGAAAAGTACAAGAATGCTAAAAGATTTGGAAATATTGGAAGAAAGAATGGAGGCCAGCCATGTGCATTACCAAGTTCATAATTTACATGAAATATCACAGTTCATCTAATATATTTTCCCTTACATGAGCTCTGGCTGTTACATGAGCCATGCATGTTCCCCTCCCCCTGGTCTCAACAGATCACTTTCTGGTTTGCCAAATTACTGTTCACAGTTTGATTGCGATTTGTAATCTTGGCTAGTAGGAATTGCTTAACTTGCTGTTTGCCAGTTTTGGCACCCCAGCACACAGTGATTTGGAAAGCTGAGAAGTGAGTACAGGAGGGGAAGAAGACCTTAAGCAGCTGTTATATCAGGTTGTCATAGAGAAACGGTGTGGGGCTATTCCATCTGCACAGCTGGGAGACCAGAAACTTTTGCTCCCTTCATTAGAAGTGCTTGTAACTGAGTTTGCTTATATCCTCATGCCCCAATCCATTTTCCTTTTGTGTCATGTCTTTTTAGATGATAAGCCTGAGAGAAGAAACTGTCTTCCTTGTTAGTGAGCCATTTTTGCTGCCGAACTGGGTAAAAATGTTTAGATAAATTATATTGTTTATAATTTATAAATTAAATTAAATTGTATTGTTTGAGTGACTCTGAATGAACTATCTGAATACTTGGCTTGAACTTGTACCTGCAATCACAGTATATCTCTTCACCTGCAATTTAAGAACCTTCCTGCGAAACAGAATAGGTTTGCTCACTAATGTGAAAGTGAATTGATTCTTGACTTTAAAAGAAAAAAAGTTGTATATATGGAACATAACAGAAAAACCTGCAACAATATTAAACATTCCAGTGCCCATTTAGTGGTTGTGTTACATTTCTGATATTCTTCTAGTTGGTGTTCAGGCATGTTGTTCACAACTTTCTTTAAATTCATTATACTTCTTTGTTGTATCTCCTTTACCAAAGCAAAGTACAGAACCTGTTACCTTTTACTGATGTTGCTAATCAGCACTGGAAAACGTAGCATGTTGCTGGAAGCTGCATCATTGCATGCTAAGTCAATACTTTTTTGCTGCTTAAGAAAAACAAAAACAAATTGTTTATCTACATTGGGAGTCCATTGTAACTAGTTAACTAGGCAAATTCACATGCTGAAAACTGCACCCTTGTATTCTGGTACACTTGTCTCCTTGAAATGCTTGGAACTTCAGTGTAAGCATAACTGAGCACTGGATTCTGGCCTTTGATGAGAGCTTAACTGAAGATAATGAAAAGCATTTGGTCACTTTATTGCTAGGACACTGTTAGGACAGGAGATCAGAGTGACTGAAGGAACAAACAAGAATAAGGCAGCAGGAGGCAAATAACAGATATGTAGTTGCCACAGGAACTGAGTTACATAGGACCTTTAGATCCTGCATATTTTGTTTATAATTTTGTGCAAGCAAAAGTGTCATTCAACCAGAAGTGACAAAAGCATTGTACCTCCATGAATTTGGGAAGAATTTATTATTGGCAAGGGGAGAGAAGGGGAGGAGGAAGACTGTGTTTTAGCAGATGGTGGGTGAGCTGGGCTTGAAATCCTAGCTTGTATCACTTATTCATTATAATTAGATACCTGGGATCAGTTTTTCCCACCAAATCCTTAGTTTGCTTATACAGTGGTACCTCAGGTTAAGTACTTAATTCGTTCCGGAGGTCTGTTCTTAACCTGAAACTATTCTTAACCTGAAACACCACTTTAGCTAATGGGGCCTCCTGCTGCTACCGCACCGCCGGAGCCCAGTTTCTGTTCTTATCCTGAAGCAAAGTTCTTAACCTGAAGCACTATTTCTGGGTTAGAGTGTGTAACCTGAAGCGTATTTAACCTGAAGCGTATGTAACCCGAGGTACCACTGTAGTATAAAAGCAAGACCTGGTTTTCTAAAGTAAAATGTTTTTAATATTTAAGGGAGAATATTTGCAATTAAGAATGTCCAGACATTTCTTTATAAGAAATAGGATGGTATTGACAGCTTCTGTTCAATGTAGGCTAAGTTTTTAAAAGAGTTGCACAATCTTACTTTGTGGCTGAGGGGTGGGAAGGAGGAAGGATAAATCTTTACCACTGTTTGTCCTAAAACTGTGACTCATCTTTAAAAGGTCTGTATGACCCAGAGTGCCTCCGCCTTGGCCCACCCTGCAAATTGCTGTTTGTTTTTTAAGTTTAGTCACATGTAGCTTTATTAGGCATCTTAAAGGCAACCTAATGATCACCTTCATACTATACATGTTGAAACAGAAACATCCATGTTTTAGAGAAGCAAATTGGCATATACTGGATACTGTAGCATCAGATTGTGAGACAATTATTGGGGTGGTCATCTTTTTCCTGGCGGGACTTCTGTTCCTTTAACACCTTTATGCCAAGAAGCACTTCAGCAGCTGGAGCTTGTTACATTGTTTTGACTATGCAAGACACTTTATCTGTTGCAGGCGCAGAATTACATTAGGGAGGCTACGTGCCTAACTGCCTTGCATCTGATGGCCCAGATGTAGATCTCCTTTTTTCTGAAGAATTAATACAACTTTTATATTTGGTTTTTCAGGCTGTGTACAAATGTGCACACGTATACCAAGAAACTCCCTACCCTGTCCCATGGTTGGGTAGGGAGGGGAAACATTGAGAGTGTTTGAAGTAAGAGAGGTGTCTGTGGGAGGTAGGTTTAAGAGCCAAATTGCTGATTCAGAGATATCAGTGGTGCAGCATTTACACCACTGTCCCTCTTCAATCTCTCCCTCCCTCCCTCCCCTTCTCCTTCTTCCTCCCTCCCACCCCTCCTCTGGATCTCTGGATGTGTGTCACGTACACCTTCCACATACATTTCAACCTAAGCTAAAACTCCTTATCCTGACATACTAGCTTGTACAGTGAGAAGTATTTGATCTCAGGCAACATTCAGACATGCTGCCCACTTCCTGAAAGGGCTATCCTGTAGGTTATTTCTTAACATGCCTTTCAATACTTTAGTGAAGGGAGAGAAATGTAGGTACATAATAGACATAGTGGTATTGGAAGGGGGTTGGTTTTAACCAATTCAATAAGTGGCTTTTGTGGAAGGAAAAGGCAGAGAGATTTTATGGAACCATGGGAAATGTACTGCATAAAACACTTAGCATAATAAAAACATGTGGGTTTCTACTGTTTTAATGTGTGGCAAATGAAATATCCAAAGTAAAAAAAGTAAAATCTCAGTAAAATTTCCAGGAGAGTAACATTTTGATGCATTTCTTTCCTACCTTTTCCTCCTACAAACAGTAGCAGAAAGATTTTGCAAATGAAGTAAATGTTTGCAAAACCTTTTAAACTTGCTTGTCTCATACAATTTGCAAAATCCAGCTTACTCAGTTCTGACTTTTGGGTTGGTGAGGTGTGCTTTTGTGTGTTGGCTGGTGCATGAGATTCCCATGCTTACTGGTTTTTGACCATGTATACCAGGGGTTGTCAGCCTTGTCCCTACTGCCCACTAGTGGGCGTTTCAGGATTCTAGGTGGACGGTAGGGGGTTCTACTGCACAAGCTGAATCCTCCTTCCATCAAGCACTGGTGGGCAGTAAGGAAATTTTACCATCCAGAAAGATGCATTAGTGGGCGGGTGGTAGGTATAAAAAGGTTGACTATCCCGATGTATACAGCTGTAGGCACTTCAAGACTTAATGTAAGAGATACCTATATCTATGTATCTGTAAGTATACAGTGGTACCTCGGGTTACAAACACTTCAAGTTAAGACTCCACTAACCCAGAAGTAGTACCTCGGGTTAAGAACTTTACCTCAGGATAAGAACAGAAATCACGTGCCGGCAGGAGGCCCCATTAGCTAAAGTGGTACCTCAGGTTAAGAATGGTTTCAGACCTCTGGAATGAATTAAGTTTGTAACCAGAGGTACCACAGTATATATATAGAGAGAGAATGCCCATGCCTTACTGAATGTTGATCCTTCTTATATTTAGTTTGGGGTGATGGATGATCTGCTCTCATTTAGGAAAGAGCTGTAGTTCAGTGGCAGAACTCATGCTTTGCATACAGAACCTTGCAGGTTCAGTCCCTGGAACTTCAAGGTAGAAATAAGAAAGATATGATCTGACTCAGGATAACATAACTTACTATGCCATCATGTTCTTCTTCTTTTTTCTAATATCCTTCTTAGTGTATTTTTTGCTATTTAGGACTTTCCGTTACATAGTAGCTCTAGTGTTTAAGTTGTTGTAGACAGAAGTTGGATTGAAATCCACTAGTAAATCTGAGTGATTTGCAGATTCTGACTACAAATTGAGTAACGAGTAACACCTTGTTCCTTCATTATAATAAGTGTATTTCCCCAAACCCCATCAATTTTTGCACTTGTCTCCAGTTGATGGATCTTAGGAGTCTAGTAAAAAATAAAAGACATTTTCCTGCACCTGGTTTAAGTGAATCCTAATATTTCCTGCTCCCTGCCCTTTTCCATATTTTTCAGCCATTACAGCTCTTAATCCTTCCCATGTTTATTTCTGCTTGAAAAAAGTCCTTCAAGAATATTGCAAGCTAGGCTGTAGTGATATTTTCTAGCTACTTTTAGTATTGCTTATGAGGGCATGCTCTGGAAACTTGTTGTTCAAGGTATCAGAGACAGATGTTCTTGGGTTCTTCTAAATTTGTGTGTGTAATCATTAATTCTAGTTACTTACTGTGCAGCTGTGTATATCTGTTCAGTTGTTACGTTATGAAATCACGGAAATTCACAATCAATGGTGGAACTCTGTAGTTTTAGACACTAGTCTTTGGGGGAGGGGCTTTAGATGGCAGGTGTTAATTAGCAATTAGCATTTATCTCCCTCCAACACTTGTTCTTTACATTGGCTTTGACAGTACTGATAGGTGAGAGAGGAAAAAAACAAATTTGCCAACTGTAATTTAATAAAGAAACACTCTGAACAAGTGCAGTTTTGCACTTTAAACTCATTAAATTGTAGCTCTATCATGACTACAGAAAATAAATGATGTTTGCTCCTGCTCTCCTGATACTAAACAGATTTACTTGGGAACGAGCACCATGTTGTTGTAGGAAACCATAATGTTGTTTTTTAAAAGGAATGAATGTTTTGTTGACAGTATCAACTCCTGTGGGCCATGACATGCCCACAGCGGCCCAGCTGCTGATGCTGGGCTTGTCTGCTGCTGCCTTCATCACCTGCCATTCTTCTGAGTGGTGATTTGGAGGCCTCTTGAGCTACAGGACTCTGGACCTCAGCCCTGGCTATCAGCCCTAGTGGAACCACTGATTAGAATTAGGACTGGTTCAGTTATGCTAGGAATTTATATCTGAGTCAAACATGAAGGGTCAGCACTGTGAATGCAGCTCTGTGTGGAATACATATATAGGCTTGAGGTGTGAAGGACTAGATTGTGCCCTTTGTGCATTTAAACATCTGAGAAGATCTTCATCATTGAGATAGGATCACTCTATTAGTTGCTATGAATCCTCTACAACAGTGATGGCCAAACTTGGCCCTCCAGCTATTTGTGGACTACAGCTCCCATCATCCCTAGCTAACAGGACCAGTGGTCAGGGATGATAGGAATTGTAGTCCCAAAACAGCTGGAGAGCCAAGTTTGGCTATCACTGCTCTACAACATTGCTTGTGCCGATGGAATATTTGAAGTCAGCACCATGTGATATTTTCCCTGTGACACTATTCAGGTGCAGAGTGCTTTACTTAATTCATCCTCACAACAGCCCTGTCATCATTATTCCCATTTTACAGATGAGTAATTCTAGTTGAATGAGCCATTTACCCAAAACTTGTTTCTCACTTTGTATTTTGTACTGGGTTGGGGTACCCAAGTATAAACAGCCCAAGTGAATATAGAAGGTCCCAAGTTTTGTACTGTGACGTGGTGACTGAAAGATCAGTTTACTTTTTCTTTGGTTTTAAATGCAAACTTTCCATGTGTTTGCCCTTCAAACTTGACACAGCTTGTGTGTATTTTGTACTTGTACCCATAGCTGTGTACAAAATATAGAGAGGGAAATACTTAAGGGTGGATTTAAACATGCTACCTTTAATCCATGTGTTCAAGACATTGCAGGGCCAGAAGAGTGAAATTTCTATAAGAGAAGGAGGTAGGTGGGTTAGAGACTCGCATTCCCATTGCATGCAAGAGATCTGGAACCTGGGAATAGGGACAGAGGAGAGGCCACATATTATCCTGCACTTCTTCTCTCCTGAAAATGTCACACTTCTGGCTCTGCTTTGCCTCAAGAGAAGCAATGACTGACTGGGCTGGGAAGATGCCCACTGGAGGTGGAATATGAAGTTCCACTGTAAGACCACTCTACTATATCTACAGTTACAAAGGGATTTGAATTCACTTAATTGGAGTCTAGTCTGTTTAGCAGCAAAGTAAAGCAAGTGTGATCTGTTGTGAAGGGGTGTTCAGTAGAACAGTCTAGCTTGGAGTGTTTCCCTCAGCCTCTGGCCAGAGGCAGCTTAATTTTCTGTTTGCCTGTTTTGAATTTGCCATACTATTTTTGTAGATCTGAATATATCCCGTTGCCACTAGTTCTCATCAAGAATCGAATGCACAGTCTACTTGTTCAGGAGTGCGGTTTTTTAAAGGAGTGGCTCTGTTAGTGATTCTGAATAGAGGTTCTTTTGGGAGGGCAGGTATGTATACAGTGGTACCTTTGGTTACGAACTTAATTCGTTCCGGAGGTCCATTCTTAACTGTTCTTATCCTGTTCTTATCCTGAGGCGTGCTTTTGCTAATGAGAGGCCTCCCGCTGCAAGTGTGGATTTCTGTTCGCATCCTGGGGCAAGGTTCTCAACCAGGAGCAGCTACTTCCGGGTTAGTGGAGCTCGTAACCAGAAGCGTTCATAACTAGAGGTACCACTATTTGCAAGAAGATACAAGGTGCACTATTGCTCTTTCTGTCTGGTGAAAGCCACTGCAAGTTTTTGTGTCAGTACAGTAAAGTAGGAGTCAATACAATAAAATGCTGTGACTTGTAGGAATGTTTGTGATTCCTTGACACTGATTTCCCCCTTTTTTTTAAGCGGGATAAGAATCTTTGAGATTGGATAGTTACATTTGAGTGGGCAATTCACATCAATTACAGCCTATGTGAATGGCACAGGATAACATGCTGCTGAGATTGCCACAACATCTAGGGTCCTTTGGGGCAATCAGGGTCTGATCATCATAATCATTTTTCACAAATTCCAAATGCTTAGACTTTGTCTACAACAATCACTTCTGCTTTTGTTAACCCTTGATTGTAATGCAGGATAGGTCTTCTCCTTTTAAGGTGATTGGTTGCCTGAAGTGCATCAAGTTCCCCTATAGTTTTTTTGGGAGAGTTTTTGTTAGTAATTTTATCTCACCTGTCCTAAATGGCTTGGGCCCTATGTACCTGGCATATTGGCTTACAATCATAACCAATCACCATTCCCAAAAACATAAATAAAAGGACACTTGCCCTTTCCCCAGATGGCTTGACAAAAGTATGAGCCTGTGCATCCTATGAAGCCATTGTAAGATCATCCCATTTTGGGTTTCTAGAGGCCTTGGCTTAGTAGGTATAAGCAAGGCTAGTGTGTAAGCCTTTTAATTGGGCATTAATAAAGTGCTGTAACTCACTGAGGTTTTGTTCACACTTGAACACTGCTGCTGCAACTAGTCCATATCTTACCCCAATGTGATCCTGGTATTCTTAAGGGTGGGCACTGCAGTCAGATGTGAGCCAGTTCTTAAGTTAGATGAAATACAGGCTGGGTTTGCAGGAGCAGGAGTACTGCATCACGCCACCGCCAGTCAAACACCATCAAAATAATGCATGTTTATGTGGCTACCACTGTGAGAACAGCATGCTGGACTTGATGGTCCACTTTGGCCTGATCTCGCAGGGATCTTCTTATGTTCCCAGACCAAGCACACTTGTTGTGTGTGACTTTTATTTAAAATGTGAACGTTGCACATGAACATTTTATGTATGTAATAAAAAACCCTAAAATTATTAGAAGCTAGGACAGGAGTGAAGAATATAGCAAAGCAAATGTGTAGGTGAATGATTTAAACTTAAGAATAACTGAGACACTAAAAAGTGCATAGCAACATAAAATCAAATTTTAAATTTTAGTTCTCTAGGGTATGTTCTGCCCTCCTTGTAACAGTGTTGTTACATGAAGCACTATGCTTTTCTCTGGAAGAATATATGACCAGCATTCACTTATTAGGGAGAAATTAGGCGTGCACTTGGGGACTGGAGTGGGAACTAAGTTGGCTCTCCAATGATTCCTTCGCACAGCCCTGCACTAGTATTTGTTTCATGAAATAGTGGGGGAGCCTCTTCGCCCATATTCATTAGGACTCTGCCATTTGTTTTGGATGAGGCACGGGCCCCAAATGACTATTCTGCTTTGGAGATACTGAGACTGCTTCACATTTTTAGACTTCCCCAAAGTGTTTCCAAGCTTTTCTGTAAATGTAGATTCCAACCCGAGATGCAGGAGTGTAGTTTGTGAATGACAGCTGTAGCGTCTAACCTCTACCAGGGCTCTCCTCTTTGTTGAATGTGTTCAGAGCAACAGCTGTGGCAGTTGGAGTTGCTACGCCTTCCAAGAACAGCTTGAGAAGTACAACTGACAGGGAGATAGTTTGAACCCTGATCCTGGCCACTTTGTGAATGACTTTCCACAGCTAAGCCAAGCTCTTGAGGATCAGATATGTGGCGATCCCATGTCCTAAATAAAACTACGCTCCTCCTCTTACTTTTCCCCTCGATGCCCAGTCTAGCAGACTTCATTTCTTTATAGAAGGGGCTCTTAATGCATTCCATTTTCATCCAATTATGCAAAAAAGAAAAGAGAAAAAAAAGTTATAGGCACTTGATTATTTCAATAGAGATGACACCTGAGGCTTTGGAAAATGAGGTGAGATGAGCCTCTGCCCCAGATCAGAGGCAAAGATAGATGTCATATCCATGCCAATGAGACGGGTTCAGGGGCAATTTATTTTTTTGTGCACATCCCTGGTAGAAATTGATTACTTCAGTGAAGATCAAACTTTGGCTGCAGCTCATGGTTAGCGAGGGAAGAGCTTTAACATGAATCTGGCTCAGCTCAGTGCAGGAGTAAAAAATGACTAGGGAGGAGCAAATCAGGTCTGACCTCCTCTCTGGCAACCCTCACACTTGTGCAGTCCCAGTAACCCTCAGTTTGAATTCCTGTGCTATGTGAACCAGGCTAGTGTGTTTTGCAACCTTCTGCCTATATGGGTTATAGTGCTAATTCAAAGGTACTTAAGCTGCTGAAGAATTGGTACCAAGTGCAGAAAGTCAGGAGTGTAATGAATGTTTTGAAAAGTTCAGTGGAAAAGTACTGAAGACAGTAAGGAACTGGCAGTTATTGACTTCGGGTAATGCTAGTTTTAGATATTAAACTTGTGGTGGAAAAAATAAAGTGGGGAGGTATCCAGTATGCCATTTCCCACACAATGTTAACTATTTTCCTTTGATATGTTAACTTCTCAGATATAGAACCAGATGCTGCATGTAAGGAAGAAACATCTCTAAAGTGTGAGGGAACAATGGTCCTGGAAACGATCTTTAGTATTTGTCCTTGCTTGTACTTCTTAGTGACAAAATCTGTTCTTTGGGGACATGAAGGCACACTCAGACAGAATAAAACACAAACACACACACACAAACATTTAACCACAGACATGATTTTTATTTGATTTTAAAAACTTTACTGAGGAATGTATAGTCCTGTGCTAGCTCTTCCTCCCCAGTGTCACAGAACTTTGGGTTTGTGTTCTGACAAACGACATTTTGGGGGCTAGTGAATCTTCTGGAGACCATTTCAGCTCCAGGTGGCTGTTCATCTCACATATTGAGTTGTTGGAGAGCAGCTGCCCTGCAAGCAGAATGGGCAGTTTTCCTTCTGCCCTGTTTTTCATCCATTTGTGATGTCATGCAGAAAATCACTCGGTCTTCAGGGTCTGTCACATTGTTTGTTTTTTAAAATGTCACTTTTTAAAAAATCCAACCAAATATAAAAAAGTCACTTGGATTGTTGCCTCAGTACTCAGTATTGCTGGAATTCCTAATTTGTTTTTATTATTATTACCTAAGTAGATTTTCTTTGAAGAGGGGAGTTGGAGAACTGAATTGCTAGATCCCATTTCTAGTTACTGAATTATGACAGTGGTTTTCATAGTTGTTATATAAACCAAATAAAGAATATATTGGGGAGACAAGAAACACACACTGACCTTTGGGTTGCCTTTTCTGGTTGTTGATGTTGTGTGTATCTATCTACTGGTATAATATTAACAGGCTGTGAAAGCTACTGTGATACTAAGCTTTCTTGGGATAAATTTCTCCACGTTGGACTCCCACTATCTGCTGAATGTGGTGAACTTTCATGTGGGTTACCTTAAGGAAACTAACACTTACTTTCCTGCTCCTATGTAGGGGGTGGTGGTATATGTAACGCATGGTACCTTACTTGAAGAAATCCCTCAAAACACTTGATGCCTCTAGTTTCAAATTGCTCCATTTTTAATTCTTCACCTTGTGAGGTTTCAAGATTCATAAAATGTTGATGGGAATATGTGAAAGAGCCATATTTCAGCTAAGATTCTCCTTGAAATCATTTTAAAGGAGAATTGCTTTGTGTAACATAAGGTAGAATAGATCAGGGCTATTAAGAGTAGCCACTGGACTGCATACCACATGCTAATTCTATATTGTGACTTGGCAGGTGCTTCACAACTCCTTATTCCCAATTTTGTACCACCAGATTATCTGGGGAAACTGAATGTATGAGCTTTAGTGGATTGAAATACATGGTTCATGTGACATGAATGTTCCAGGCACCTTAAGTTTTGATGGGATACAATAAATCCTGGAGAAGAAAAAATGAGAGTGGTTCCTCCCAGCACCCTGGATCTAAACTTGGCCATCAGGATTGTACATGCATTGATTAATGTCTTAAGGATATCATGATAATTTCCTCAATTGTCAGTTGTGCTCTGCATACCATGTACAATAAACCAAACTGGTCTTTTTTCTGTTTCACTTGCACTAAAATATTTTTGTTCTTCCCTTAGACTGATGGCATTACTATGGAAACCATTGTGAGAAGAGCAGGCTTTCCAGCTGGTATCTCCATAACTGTGTGGTGCTTTTGGAAGCAGAGCCCATCTCCAGTCAACTCCATTCACTTCCACCAGCACAGACACAGACATGCATCATTGGGAATGATTTTTCATCGCGTGTTGGTTGAGACTACAATTGTGCTTTTCCAAATTAACTTTGGTCATATATAAGTTTTGATGACAGAGGTTTCTTTCCTCCCCCCTTAGCATATCTGTGTGGGAGAAAAGGTGAATGCTGTGTTCCTTCTACACTTCCCATAAGTTTGTTTTGAGAAGTCACTTGGTATCTGAGAATCTACCTAATATGAGTTTTGCTTTTCTAGTACTTGAAGTGATAGCATAAATGTTTTATAAATGGTTTAGAATTATATTATTATTATTATTATTGCAGTTTAAAACCATTTTGAAGGGATGGGAACAACAGGCCAAGGCTTTGATCCTAAGCATGCTTGTTTGTAAGTCTCATTGAAATCTGTGGGTTATATTTTTGGGACTAGAGGCCTGCAGCCAATGTTTTGAATAGACAATTGCAACACATACAGCCTTCCCCACCGCGCTACCTAATAAATAGGCTACCAGAGAATCTCTTCCATGTCCCCCCTCCTCATGCATGCTCTTCCTATTGCCTGTCTATTTCTCTTACATGCATAAGAGAAGCTTATTGTTTAGCTTCACCCACTTCATGCCTTGGCCAGGATGGAATAGGTGGAGAAGCTACCACCTCTCTTTGCCTTCCTACCCACCTCCCTGATCCTCAACATTTGTAGCTGCGTTTGCAAAGAAGTCATTTATTGTTTGCTCCATCAGTGGCCACTTTTGAGAACAGCTGCTGCTAGAGCATACGGTAAAGATAATTTGCAATTTCTGAGGAATAAGTGTGTGTGAGTACATGTGCACGCACGCATGCACACACACAGCACAGCCTTTTCTCCTCTTCCAAGGCAGGTAAATGTCCTGATCCTGTACCAACTGTAAGGAAATAAGAACCACTAAAATCAGTGGGACTTACAGGTAAACATGCATCGAACTAGTCTGTAACCCAAGTGTCTGTCTCTCTCTCTCACACACACAAACTCTATCTTTGGCTCCCTTCTGGAGAGAGAGACACATGCACAGATTGTGGTGAGATTTCACAGCCACAAGAACAATATGCTATAAGGGAGAGAAATGGTACTTAAATGAGACTTGGGGTGGGGGTGGGGTTGGTTAAATTTTGCTTTATGATGCAAGAGAGTTATGGATTCTGTCTTTTTTATTTTTATAATCCTATGTCCTCTTAAATTGAAAATTGTTGAGAATATCTCGAATGTAAAGGTAGAACTGAAGAATTGGTTGTATCTTGATTATAGTTTTCATTTTTCTTTATCTCCCTGTGTAGTCCCCCCCTCCCCCAATTAATGATATTTTGGATTAGCAGGGAGTTGATTTCTTTATAAGTTCAAATGGGGGAGAAATGCAGACTTTACAACTGTATATTTTCCCTGCATTACAATGTTGATGTGCTGTAGAGCTTCTATAGAGAGGATTCCTTAAACTTTAGTGAAAGAACCCTTTTCATTTGGAGCTATTTTTCTTTCTTTACAAAATTAGGGGACAGAAAGACTGTCCTATTATACCTAATGTGGGGAAAGGGATACATTATCTTACTAGGATTATTGTTTAAATTGGGAATTAAAAATTCCTTAAACTTTAGTAGAAGAACCCTTTTCATTTGAAGCTATTTTTTTTTTCTTTCCAAAATTAGGGGACAGAAAGACTGTCCTATTATACCTAATATGGGGAAAGGGATACATTATCTTACTAGGATTATTGTTTAAATTGGGAATTAAAAATTGTAGCCAGAAGCCAGGTGCCTCACTTACGTCATTAAAGAGCATGACACTAGTTATTGGTTCTGACATTTTTGTTAGAACTTATAGTATATACTAATAATTAGAAGCACTGATAACTGAAAGGGTTGAAAGCAGTAAACAAATCCTCAGGCACCACACAGCTGGTATTCCTCTACGTTGTATATTGTACAAGTATTGAGTAAGGGTTGCCTCACCTTTTGACATCTGACCTTTCCAAAGTGCAGTGGGCCTACCACTTTACTTACACTATCACAGCCTTATGTGGAGGGGGGAATAAATAAATTAAGAGTGGGGGGAACCTCCCATTCCGCGCCTCCATTTTATTTATTTTCCATGTACCCAGTGGGTTTTCCTTTCTTACTGGCTTCTGGGAAGGAGGCATGAGAGCTCTGGAAGTGTCCCAGGACCCCCCTCCCTTTTTTCTTGATTTATTTATTTGCTTTTCTGTTACACATTCTCCGCTGATACATAAACTAAATACATAACACATAATACTGACCACATAAACTAATACAATCAAAACAAAACAAATATATCCTTTCATATACTTCCCTTCCACTTCTTCCATAGTTTCTTATCTAATCGCTTCCAAACTGCATCTTCTTGTTTCTCTAAATTTTTCATTCTTTCTCTCTTTACCTCTTGTTATAACTTACGCTGCTGAAGTGCTCACATCCTGCTAGGTTAATTATCTTGTTATAATGATTTTTCATATATTCTATATATAACTTCCATTCTTCCTTAAGTTTTTTTTTTGTCATCTCTGTTTCTTATTCTATTACTCATAGCCGCTAATTCCACATATACCAACAATTTATGATACCACTCATCTTTTGTTGGAACGACATTCGTTTTCCATTTTGGTGCCAGTAAAATCTGAGCAGCAGTGGTGGCATACAGCAACAGACTCACTTGATTATTTGGGACTTCAGATGTTATTATGCCCAGGAGAAACAGCTCTGGGCTTTTAGGGAAAGATCTTTAAACATTTGTTTAAGCTTGTTATAAATACACTCCCAATATTCTTTAATCACGTTGCAGGACCACCCAGAGGCTGGTGAGGAAGGAAAACCGCTGGGTGTGTGGGTAAAGGGAAAATAAATGGAATAGCAGACTCCCCCGCTTCCCATTTATTTCCTACCCCACCCTACCCCGTGTAAGGTTGTAAGTGGCAGACCCACCGTACTGGACCAGTTTGTATAACAAATTAGATCCTCCTGTCAGTTTTGATGTTCATGACTGTGTACTGGAATTTATTTTTGGTTAGTATTAATATACATGTCACACAGTGATATAGGTGATTTCTGACAAATATAGCTGGCATATAGTTGGCATCCATGAGTTATGCAGAGCCCAGTAATCAGAAGGAGGATAAGAAATATGCTGCAGAGTTTAAAAGCACAGATGAATATCTGAATCTAGAAAAGCAAGGTTTTCAAGAGTATGGTTAACTAGTTGCTGCTAAACAGATTTTGACTTAAAAACATGACCACTTTTCTAGACCACAATACTGTCTTGCCATGTACGTTTTGTTTGGACTCTGTAAATTAACAATGCAATAGGTACTTTACATCTTTTCATTTAAAAAATGAAAATTGGGTGATAGTTAAGAAATGATTCTGAAAAAGGTTTAACAAATGTTAACAAATATTAGATCCTGAGGCTGCCATGGTACAATATACAGCACTGATTTTACAAATGCTGAATAAATAAGCAAATGGGTAACCTCAACTCTACTGGTACAAATACTAACAGGTACAGCATAATAAATATGCAATCTTTTTTGTCTTAGTTTACAGCAACTAACTTATTCAGTATTGTGCTGGAAGATCATTTTCCAACTATGTAAAACATATCACTATGTGGGCAACCTTCCAGCCACCCGTTTTATGCTGCTGTATAGTACAGAAAAACCAATGATGGAACAACGTTTGTCCTGTAAATTTAATTTGATATTGACAGTTATTGTCTGTACAAACTAAAACATATATGGTTGAAACTGTTCATTATATTTGCTATTTCTGCTTCACTGATCTGTTAAAAAGTTTTGAGCTGATTGATCCGGCTGTGTCTTCCATTGTAAATATTGTTACATCATTTTTCATGGTAAAATGCAGCACATTTGCAATTTTGGGAGACTGGCTTGAAGCTCTGTATAGTGTTTATATTTATCTGAATTGGCTTTCCATAGAGCTACTCGCAGTAAATGTGTTCATGGTAGTGTTGGTGCAGTTGAGTCTTTATTTAAAATGGCTTGCTTGCTAAAGTAGTGCTTTTCTGTATACATTCATTCAACTTTTAAGAGTGGATTTAAGTTTTAGTATCCTCTACATGCAAATTACCTGGATCTGTTCAGCCAAAAACTATTATGGCTCATTTAAAATGCTGCAAGAATACTTAGTGTGGCTCAAAGCATTCATTAGCCGATGGCACTGATCAATTCATTGTAGTTGTGGGTTTTTAATCTGATTTTTAAATGGAGCATGTGAAGGGCTGTTGAGAGCTGATACCAGTGTTGTAAGCCATTAATGTACAGCACTTGCTTCATTCACAGGAGTGGCCTTTTGATGTGGACAATGTAATATTCATGAAAGTATTATGGCCAGCCCCCTAATCTTAGACACGCTTCTGAAATCAGGAAATGAAATAGTTGTTCTTGCTAAGATCTGGAAATCCCCAGTTCATGAGTTTCATTACTCACAAAACAAACCACTCTCTTCAAGAAAACTGCTTTTAAAGAAGCATATGAACTTATTCTTCATTAAAAACAATAATTTATCTTCAGGTGTTCTGCCAGTTTTGAAACACTAGAATGAATATTAATATCAGTCAAAAGCAGGAGTTGACTCAAACATTTAACTTTTGTAAAACTCATACTTTGGAAAAAGCTCACGATCCCTGTATTTTTTTATTGGTTGAAGACATTTAGGCTCTTAATACAGTTAAATCACTAGAGGTGTAAGTTGCTCCTGGACCAAAATATGCTTCTTTCCTTCACTAGATATGCCCAAGTGTGTTAGTACAGGTCATCTAGAAGGCTTTCAACCTAATCCCATGCAGAATTAGTCACACCTAAGGCCATGAAAATCAATGGGCTTTTCTAGGACCCAACGTTAATTTCTTGGCTGTTGGTGTATAAAGGGAGCAGGCAAGATTGAGCAAATAGACAACAATGGTTTCTGGTTACAGTTATAATGTGCTGCATGAATCCCTCTACTGTTGTTCTCATGTGAGGTGTTTTAGATGGGAATGGGACAGAAGCTGTATGGAAAAGGTGTAGAAGACTTTTGTGAAGCTCACTGACTACAGCTTATCAGTCCACTTTCTCAAAACTAGAAGCTGCTGTTCAGAAAGAAATATTTGGGGTGCATGTTTTCTAGCACAAGTGGAGGGTCCCTCTCCCTATTCTTCCCTCCTGCCCCACCCTGGGGTGAGCATTATTGAACGAGGGATTCTTTTGTCTTGCTGCTAATGCATTAGGCATACTTAGGAGCAACCTGCCACTCTCATTAAGAAGTGACCAGCAGAATCGCCTAAGTTTATAGTCTAGCTAGCAGATAAAAAAAACAAATTTTTAATAAATAAAAATAAAATATTATTGCTGAGGCGTGATTTCGAGGCGCTATTGAAATTAAAAGTGGCTTTTTGAAACAAATGAATAAATGAATGAAATTGCTCTCTCTTGATCAAACACATACAAGCCCTCCTGGTCTCTTTGAAGATAAAAATCGCAACTGGCAACACAGTCACTCTGTGTTCTGCATGCTTTTTGGATGAACAGATTGCCCCATCCAGCTCCCCTTTCTCTGGGCCTCATGTTATAGCAGGCAGCATATGTTAAGAAGAAAAGAAAACACAACTCCCTGCTACATGGCAGCAAGTCATACCAGCAGTAAATAAACAGGGCACATTATCCAAACACGGTCAGGGCTGTTGCAACATTTTTTTAACATAGTAACTGCTTAAAAGAGGCCTCTGCTGTGAAAGACCTCATTGGACCTAGACTATGGTAAATGCTTGCGCTGGTAGTTTGGCTCAGAACTCAGCAACTCTGACCGAGCTGGTAGGCAAAACCGTCAGCACTGAAACGCCCCACAGGGCCCTCTCTTCCAGGGCTGATCAACAACTTGGCTAAAACAACAAGGCACTTAAGCTGCTTGCTGACTGGGAAACGTTATTGTTCTGCAATAGCGGGGAGGTTTGAATTTAGCTGCTCAGTGAAGAGAAAGAAGAGTTTGGATTTGAGTTTAAAGCAGCTAGTAATTAAACCTGGTGTTTTCCATCAGTGATGTTCAAACTGCTCTGAAGAAGCCTGGGCAATGCATCCTTGAGCTCTTAGGAAGGATTGCTCCAGGAGAATTTCAGGAATAACCAATACATTTATCTGAAAAGGAACATTTTGCTTGGCTGCTTGTACCAATTTTACAGCTGCAGAGGAGTGTTGTGTTTATTCCTGTGTTTACACAGCAGAGTCCATATTCCGCATACGCTGAAATATATGGGACAACCCCTGACTTTCTGATACCTGGGCCCAGTAAATCACTGCCCCGTTTTTCTCTTCTGGGAAGAGGATATGGATGTGTATTGAAAAATATTGGCATGCGTGCCATAATGCTAAACTTCTTCAGGTTTCCATTCTGTCTCCTAGCTCTCTAGAAGTTAATATACCCAATACAATAACTATACACTCAATGCTAGCCTGTGTCGCAATACAGCAAAGCTGAATTGGGTGGAGGCAATTTACTACAGAGAAGGAACAACAATGGAGTAAGTGCTTCACCCAGGGGTGACTAACCCCCCAGATTGTGAGCTTTGCCTAGCCTCTGAAGCACATTTTCCCAGACCTGCAAGATCCAAAACAATTAAAACAAAAACACATAGTGCTTGGGTGAGTGGAACCTGGTGGCTGTACCCATGCCATCAGATTCTGATCCTCAACATGTGACCCTCTAAGCCTCTCTCTGTAGCCCTCAGAACTCCAGCGCCAACCCCTCTCCCCAAGAAACAACTCTACTCTCCAATGGTAAAATGCACATTAGTTTGACTTATTTTCACATCTGGTCCTGCCCACCACTGGCATGTGGCCCCTGGAAGGTTGCCCCGTAAAGAATGTGGCCCTAGGGATGATAAAGGTACCTCACCCTTGATTTGAATGGAGAGGGATTTTTAACCCATCTTTGGGAAGATATGTTCTCTCTCTCTCTCTCTCTGTGTGTGTGTGTGTGTGTGTGTGTGTGAGAGAGAGAGAGAGAGAGAGAGAGTATATGACCATACCCACTGCTGGTATATATGCCCCCCAGAGGGTAAACTAAAGATGAACAAAACCAAAGGGTCAACCAAATGTTGGCAACCTCACCCAGGCTTAACCCTGGTATAACCTGCCACAGAGCTTGTGCTTTGCTGCTGAGCTTCGGTTTTTCTCCAAATGCACAGCAGCAGTGAGCCCCTGGCAGACACCCTAGGGTTCTACGGCAGGCAAGGCAACATGGGATGTTTTCCCTGAAGGTATAATACTGGAAACTTGCCATTCTGTAGCATCATGTGTAGGTTGCTGGGCAAGTTTGCCTGTGCAGGGACTGCCATATTTATACATACATGTTTTTCCAACAGTGGCCAACATGTCTTCCTGCTTAAGCATCCACAGAATCTTTGGTGAGAGAGGAGGATGGGGAGAAAACCAATGGGTACCACGTCTGGCTCCACTCTTGGCTGCCCCACCAGGTCCCCAGCAGCTGGCACTGAGTTGCAACATGTTGTGCTCAGGTTTGCTGTTAATGCCCATTTTACAGATGGGGAATGCTGAAGCCGAAACATAGGGCCCAGGGTTGCACACTTGAGTTTGTGGCAGAGGTAGGACTTGAGCCCAGGCTTTCCAGCACATGGTGGTTTGCTTCCTCAGTCTGTGGGGCTAAAATGTATACCTTATGTTATATCAAAAATCTTGCACAAATTGTCTCTTAGTACCAGGTTAGGAAGAGCTTTTCCAACTGAGCTAGAGTGTTGATCCGTCTAGCTCAGCGGTGGCTTTTCCTGGTCTTGGACAGAAGTACACCGGTACCTTGGGTTACATACACTTCAGGTTACAGACTCCGCTAACCCAGAAATATTACCTCGGGTTAAGAACTTTGCTTCAGGATGAGAACAGAAATCGTGCTCCGGTGGCACGGCAGCAGCAGGAGGCCCCATTAGCTAAAGTGGTGCTTCAGGTTAAGAACAGTTTTAGGTTAAGAATGGACCTCTGGAATGAATTAAGTACTTAACCCGAGGTACCACTGTATGTCTTGCCAAGTGCTACCCGAAATTTGAATCTGGGACCTTCTGCATGCTGCCCCTGCCTTTGCAAGACTTAGGGCTCTGCTCTCTGGCTCTGTTCCTCTGCCTACTTTCTTGATGGGAGTGGAAAAGAGAAACCGTAAAAGCATCATCTTGCCTGAAGGCTCCTCTCCTAATAACAAAATTATTTCCACTGTTACTGAAAGCAGCAAACTCTTTGAAAAGCTACCATTTGGAAGAAAAGAGTTCTCTGTGTTGCACATTTTGTGAAGGGAGAGAAAGACTGTGTAATTTTTATATCTTCCTGAGATTTTCTTCAGAGCCAGAAAAGATGGATAGTAGTGGCAAGATGGTCAAAATAACATCCTCAAAGGTTATTTTCAATTGACTAATAATATCTCCCTTTTAAATAAATATGTAAATATCTAAATATACTGTCCACTATGATAATAAAAATGATGGTGGGCTAGAATGCTTTATTGCATTTTGTATATATTTTGAAATCACCTTTGATTCAGCAACAGTGTCCTGAATTAATTTGTAGTATAATAGAATAATAGTAGTAGAATAATAGTAGATGTAGAATAATAGTATATGTAATAAGGTGGGCCAGATATTTATCTTGCAACCTTCCTCTAAACATTTTTTACATGGAAAGAACAAACATTGCTGATGTTTATCTCATCTTCTTATTGGCCAATATATACTGTAATGTGCTCTTAGCAAAATGGAATAATTAATGTGAATTAGTTGCTCCTTTGTAAATTTCTCAAGGTTCTTCACACTATGCTTGTGGTTATAAAACCAGGGATGGTAGTTACTGTAAAATCATTCACATTCTTACATTATATGAAAAGGCCCAAACATATGTTTGTAACTATAAGCAAACTGTGATTGGTTGGATATTGATGAAAATACTCAGTGACAAACTGACAGCTGTTTGCCTTTTGAAGATATGATATAATGTAATGATGAATGTGCCACTGTTGTGATTTTTTTTTTAAGTCCATCAACCATGCTTTGATGTAGCATGATTAAATTACCGGTAACTAATGGCCAAAAATATAGCTGAGATTTAGACTACTGAGTATATTTGGACATTTATACTTGTACTGTAGGAAAAGGGGCATGGGCCTAGCAACCACAATTTTTGGCCGCTGAAGCCAGCCCAAAAAACTATGCAGCCCTGTTTAAAATACTCAGAATGTGTTTGCCAAGGAATGCCAACCTAGGTGTTTCAGTGGCTCTCTTTAGCATTCATACCATGGGCCTTTGTCTGGAGGCCTGCTTTATAGCAGCTATAGGAGCTCCATGTGCGCAGGCAGAGCAGCTGAATGAGAGCCAGTGTGGTGCGGTGGTTAGCGTTGCAGACAAGGATCCGGGAGACTAGGGTTCAAATCCCCACTCAGCCTTAAAGGTCACTAGGTAACCTTGGGCCAGTCACTGCCTCTCAGCCTGACTTACTTAACCAACGTGATAAAGAGTCAAGTCTAATGAGGAATGGTTGAGGGAGCTGCATAAGCTTAGCCTGAAGAGGAGGAGACTGAGAGGAGATACAATAGCCATCTTCAAATATCTACAGGTCTGTCACATGGATGATGGTGCAAGCTTGTTTTCTCCTCCTCCTGAGGGTAGGACTCAAACCAGTGGATTCAAGTTACAAGAAAGGAAGAACTTTCTGATGCTAAGAACTGTTTGACAGTGGACGGGGACACCCTCAGATGGTGGTGAACTCTCCTTCATTGGAGGGTAATCAGAAGTTTGGGATAGAGAATGTCAACAGATTTTCCTGTTGATTTTCCATAACCTCTTGGAATTTATGCCTGCTGCACATGGCACCTTCCTCTTCCCCCAGTGCCATCTGTAAGCCATGCAAAGAACCTGGTTTTTGTGGATTGTGAACCAGTTACGTTACTTGTAGGTCATCAATGGATCATAGGCAGACATGCTGTTCAAGACCAGGCATGGTATTTCAGACTGCGGGGTGGGGGGGTCGTCATCAAAAGTTAGTTCAGATCTGCAACAACTGAAGTTTAGATGCCCATTGCTTGGGTAAATTCAAGATTCAATAGTTAAAAAGCAAGTAGTATATTATTCTAAGGGCAATTGTTGTGGCATCTTAATAACTATAGCAATGTTATTGGCATAGGTCAAACATGCTTTTCAAGCCTTTGAAATGAATACAATGGTACCTCGGGTTATGAACTTAATTCCTTCCGGAGGTCCGTTCTTAACCCAAAACCATTCTTAACCTGAGGCGCACTTTCATTAATGGGGCCTCCTGCTGCTGTTGCGCTGCCGCCGCACGATTTCCATTCTCATCCTGGGGCAAAGTTCTCAACCTGAGGTACTACTTCCAGGTTAGTGGAGTTTGTAACCCAAAGTGTTTATAACCCAAAGTGTTTGTAACCCGAGGTACCACTGTATTAATGTTTATAGCACCTGTACCCACCTGCAATAGCCCCCTTATCCCCTGCTTGGGTGGAAAAGCAATTAGCCTCCTTTCCAATCCCCTCAATATGTCACTGCTATGGTCAACAAACAGAACAAAACCCAAGAGCCCAACCAGACCAGATGACAATCCTGGGCAATTGTACACTAAAAGTTTGTCATATGCTGTGCACGTTCCCTTAGTTACCCACAATATCAGAGTACCTAAACTGGGCTGCTTGGAGCTATGGGTTCTATTTTGGGCTGGACTTATCTTGTACTGCATAGCCAAGGGCATGCTATGCTATGGGAGGGGCTGTGGCTCAGTGGTAGAGCATTTGTTATACACACAGAAGGTCCAAAGTTCAATCCCCAGCATCTCCAGGTAAGGCTGGGAAGGACTGCTGCCTAAAACCCTTGAAGAGAGACTGCCAGACAGTGTTGGCCATTGGTTCTCCAAGGGTGTGGTTGGTGTGTCACAATGGTGTGGCAGGAGAGGATTGCAAGTGTGGCAGGAAGATTCAAGGACAATCAAAGTACTGTTTAAACATTTCATTTGTGTTGATGAGGAGATCCCTAGTACAGAAAAGAGGAATAATTTCCCTTTTAATGTTTTTAGAAAGAAAGATGCTTTGTGCGAGGATACTGAGCTACAACCTAAAAATCGTTCTCCGCCCCAAGCTCCAAGTGGTACCTCAAGGTTCCTTTGCCTTATTTTGCTGCAGGTCTGACCAGGACTTGGCTCCTCTCCTAGCTAAATGGATACCATAAGATGGGACCTAACATCAGCACTCTCAAGTAGCTGCCAGGCCTTGAAGCCCCGCTAGAGGCTACTGCTGATGCTCTGGAACCCATTTTGGAAAAACATCTCAGTGGCTTGGTCCCCTTTTGGAAGCAAAAAAGCCAGAACTATTATTCTGTGATTCATATTATATGTAAAAGAAAACCTGATATAAATTGCAGTCAAGTTACAGTCTACAGAGTCTGAAGCATGTGCTTGAAGAATGGGGAATCTTTTTCAGCCTGAAGGCTATACCTCCCTTTTGGCAAATATAAATTTTACCTTTGTTCAGTAGGCGAATTTCTACACACATTCCCACAACTCTCTCTTTCTCCGTGCAGGCAAGCAAGAAGCATTGCCAGAATTCAAGGATACATTCCAGCCAGGCAAAAACACAAGAGGAGGGTATGGATGGGGAGGGGTGTGTGGCCTGGGGGAATACCAGGGACTGGATAGAGCAGTCCAGAGGGCCACATTTGGCCCAGGGTCTGAGGTTCCTAACCCTTGATGTACCTAATACTCCCACAAACTTCTCAGTGGTAGGCCCTGGCATCTGCAGACCAGCCTGAGAAAGGCTCCTGTCTGAATTAAACCCTGCGGAGTTGCTGCCACTCAGTGTATTAACAATGAGGTGAATGAAGAAGGAAGGGGAGATTCAATTTATATCCCACCCCTCCTCCTGAAGGAGCCCAGGGTGGCAGATACAGCAACAATAAAATGGTTAAAAAGAAACCCAGCAACCTAGAAACAGTTTGGAAAGATTAAAAAAAAAAACAGTTTAAAATGTTCTAAAAACATGGTAAAAACATTCTCAGCCAGTGATCTCAAAGTTGCCAGGAACAGTGTCTTTCAGCCATCAAATGCCTTGGTAAACAGGAATGTTTTTAAATTCCTTCTGAAAGTCAATAATGAGGGAGACAGACGCACTTCACCAGGGAGGGCATTCCACAAACAGGGAACCACCACTGAGAATTAGCATTGCCAGGTCATGAGTATTCAAGACCCTGAGATTGCAGGGCCCAAACCTGAGACCTTGGTTAGCCTCTGGTGATGTCATAGGGTGGGCCCTGGAGTTAATTGGGAGGGAAGAAGGGCGGGGCAGAAACTCTGCACCCCAAGTATCTGTGCTATAATTTGCATTTGGACTGAAGCTTGCAAGCTGTAGGTGCAATCTTCTTTATACATCATCATCATCATCATCATCATTTATTGGCCCTCTTGCTCCCCTGCCCTCCACCTGCCACCTGGAGGGACCAGGCAAACCTGGCCTGGAGGTCTGGCAATCCACCAACAAGCCCTTGCCACCAATTGTAGTCTGTGATGGCTGATATCAACGGGGGGGGGGGGGGCTACCTGCCCTCAGGCCTTTGTTGCTCTCCCTGTAGTTTGCCAAGCGCCACCCACCTTTTTCCTCTGCGCAGCTGATCAACCTTTGCTGAGCAATGGGGAGAAGATCGCTGCTCCCACAGCCACTCAGAGCAGCGCAGCAACCGTGATCTTGTATACACTGGAAGTGTTGCAGTGGGAGAGGTATTATCCATTTTAATGCCTAAAATTTGTGCAGTGTGCATATTATTATTATTATTATTATTATTATTATTATTAATTGCATTTATATCCAATCTTTTTCTCCAAGGAGCTCAATGTGGCTTATTATTCTCCCTCTGCTCATTTAATCCCCACAACAACCCTATGATGTAGGTTACACTGAGAAGCAATGACTGGCCCCCAAGGTCACCCAGTGAGCTGCATGACTGAGTGGAGATTCGAACCAGGTCCCATGCTCAATTTATCACCAGCATACACATTCATGGCTTTAGTCTGCATGCGACCACATGTTTTCCATGCTGTATCCTGTGATTAGCCTCAATATTTAAAGTTTCTCTCTAGTGTCCCACATGCTTAAAGGCACATCAGTTCAGCTAACAAAAGCAATGGGACTTGAATGCATATCACGTTAAATCAACAGGATAACAAATTTGTGAAAGACAACCTTATGGCCTGTTCACATAGAGGACAATTTGATTTATTCAGGCTAAATTTTAGCTTTGATTTTGGGGGGAAAAAAATAAAAGGTCAGGCTGTATGAAAGTATCTTAATCCAATTCTCAAATAATATAATGTTTGATATGCTTAACATGCAGTATGTCGGTGATCCCTACAACAACCTTGCAAGGTAGGTCATTACTGCTAATAATGCAAGGGCTGAGGATGAAGGGGTGGGGTTCTCTGCTGAGTTTGTGGCAGAAGTCAGATTTGGCCTGGGAACTTTGAATCACAATTGGTATAATCTTTAAACTGAATGTTAACTTGTTAAAATAATTATGTTTATTTTTAAAACACAGCCTTGGTGTTTTGGATTTTCTTTATGTATATTTTGCAGTCTCGGGGCCTTAAAGACAACCTTGAGGCTCATTCGTGATTTCAAGGTGCGGTTTTGCTGTGAATGGGGAGTGTGTGTTCCACCAAACAGAAGGGCAAAAAAATGTTCCAGGCCGAATGGAACAAGCTTCCCCCAAATGGCTCCTCTCGAAAGCAAGATCTTTGAAACTCATGTGGGTCTGTGACTCATGCTGTTAGCATGCTTACTCGGAAATACCATACACTTTACATAACAAAGTGGATCTGTATACACATATAGAAATGTAGGACTACGAAAAGAAAAGATACACCTTTGTAATCTGAAGTTGTTTGTGGACTCCACCAGCCCAGTTATCTTGGATCTATGCACATCCTGACATTTGCAAGGAGAAGGAGATGGAAACTTTTCAGGTTGGACAAATATGTGGCTTTCCCTCCCCCCACCACCACGGCTCGTTTTTTTAAAGCAAACATGTTCCTTTATTTTCTCTTGCAAGCTCAGGAGTTAATGGGGCAAGGAGTAGATTGTTTTATTTTTAGGCACAACAAAAAGCTGTATGATTTAGAAACAAACAAACAAACCCTTCCCAATGCCCTTTGAAAATGGGGAAACTTTACAGTCGTTGACCTAAAAATCTTGAGCTATAGCTCTTCCAAGCAACACATCTCAGCCATCAGGGCCATCCCAGTATATTTTGCCACCTGAGGCAAAGGACAAGTTTCCTCCCTCACAGTCACACCAAGAGAAGTTTACCATGTAGACAGGGAAAACTTCCTTCAGTGCTGAGGGCAGAATGTCCTCCATTGCACCCTAAGACAGCAGGCCACATTACGGTACACAAGGCCCTGTATCTTCTAGTTCCTGGCCCTGGCCCCCTGCCCTCCAGCATCTGCTACCTAAGGCAGCCGCTTCATGCTACCGAATGGTAGGGCAAGCACCCTCAGCCATCTTTCTCCATCCCTCCAGATGTGTACGTGCTATACATAAATTTCCCCCATGAATCCTGGGGACTATAGTTTATTAGGTAAAAGGTAAAGGACCCTTGGACAGTTAGGTCCAGTAAAAGGCGACTATGGGGTGCGGCACTCATCTCGCTTCAGGCTGAGGGAGCCAGCGTTTGTCCACTGACAGCTTTCTGGGTCATGTGGCCAGCATGACTCAACTGCTTCTGTTGCAACAGAACACTGTGACGGAAACCAGAGCAAATGGAAACGCTGTTTACCTTTCCCGTTGCAGCAGTACTTATTTATCTACTTGTACTGGCATGATTTCGAACTGCTAGGTTGGCAGAAGCTGGGACAGAGCAATGGGAGCTCACACCGGATGCACGGATTCAAATCGAGCCCAAGAGGTGCAGTGGTTTGGACCACAGGAGCTACTTGCATCATGGTCCTCTCTCTCAGCCTAATAAGAATAATTATGGGTGAGATTCAATGTAGCATCAGCACAAGAACTGGGACAGCTTGCAGTTCCCAGCAGGGCTGGCCCAAGACATTTTGGCACCTGAGGCAAACCACAAAATGGCACTCCACCCACCAAGGAAAAGAGGTGAGTGAATATCTACACCAAGAAGAAGGGGGTGGGGGTGGGGGTGTTAAGATCTACACTGGGAATGGAGCGGGGGACAGGAATCAAATCAACCTTACCTGATGGCTGAAATGGGAATCAGATGCAAGGGGAAGAGGCCTGCTCTGAATCACGCTGGGCAGGGTAGCCCTGCCATTTCCTCCCAAAAGGTGGGAGGGAACCAGCAGCACCTCATACTTGCTGAGAGGGCAGCAGGTGAGTGAGTGAGAAACTCTCTGGAAAATAAACATGAACTTTACAGCATGCTACACCATTAAAGAAAACATGTTAAATATGCAATATTTAAAGATACATGTTAAAGATGCAATATAGATGGTATCTCACCCCATCAAAACTCTTTATACAAAGATGTATAAAAACATAGCAAACAACTGTTGACAGTGCGGGGAAGGTGAAGGAGATATGTATTACATGTGGGGGACATGCAGAAAGATTAGAGTGTTTTGGAATCTCATTTATGATGAGCTGAAAAAGATCTTTAAGTCAACATTCTTAAAAAAGCCAGGAACCTTTCTGCTTGGAATTTTAGGTAAAGACATTCCAAAAAATCTAAGAGAATTTTTTCTATATGCTACAGCTGCAGCCCGAATACTGACCGCAATGAATTGGAAAGGGGAAAAAGATCCAACCATAGCAGATTTGCAGTGCAAATTA